AAATGAATGTTAAATTTTATTCACACAAAAAAACTGTTTTTTACGAAAATGCATCATTGTTTTGAAAGTAAAAGGAACTGATTTAGATTAACTAATTAATCTTCGAGCTCTATGTAAGGCGAAACCACTCCCTAAGACTGTCATCATAGGTGTGATCTCCGGCATTCCGGATCAAGCTTAGTCGATTACGCATATCCTAATCGATATTTCTTACGAGAATTGTGGAAGAGTGCGGTAGTTTTCCGTGCCTGCGACTGTTTCGCTCTCTCCAAATGTGATAAGCCGATAATTGGAAGAGATATCTTGTCAAGAAAACCTAGAGCTTGTCCGTGATAAGCTAGATGAGGCGTTGCCAATCCGTAGTGTATTGAGTTCCAAGTAACCGATGTGCAAGGTTGTGCCAGATTTCCGACGAGTATCGGCATTCGAGGAACAAGTGGTTGCGAGTTTCATCTTCTTGGGAGCAAAGAACACATCTCTTTGAAACATTGCTGTTCCATGTAGCCATTCGATCGTCGGTGGAGAGGCGGTTAAGCACTACAAGCCAAACCAAAAAGGAGAATTTGGGCGTTGCATACTTGAACCAAATACCTTTGGAGCATGTGAGGATGGGTTGCTTTTGGCGAGTTTGAAGCCATGTTTCCTTAGTTGAGAAAAGCTTTTTAAGTCTTCCTTTCGAGTCTCGCCAAAGAGCAACATCTGATTCATCGGTCCTACCTCGTCGAATCTTATTTACTTCTTCTACAATTTGGTTGAGGAGCTCACCCTTACGTCTTCGCGTTGTGAACGTATTTATAGCATATGTTTTGAAAGTGAAAGATGTTTTGAAAGAGTTAAAAAAAGAAGAAGTGTTATTTTTGAATGGGATTGGATATGTGTAAAGACCTTGACCATGTGAGAATGGAATATTGTCACGAGTCATAGAGAGAGCTTCGGACCGGCTCATACCATCGGTTACTGGTCCGAGCTCAGCGTAACCAATGAAGATTAGATTTGTTCCGTCGAAATGGTTGAAGTTGAATTTGATGGCGGAAATGGTGTTAGAGCTGAACAAAGCTATGAACAGAGCAATGAAACATAAGTATTGGATCTGCATTATGTGTTTTTTGAACGTGTTGGTTTTTTTTTTTTTTTTGGTATTATGGTAATGGAAGTGATAATGTTATTATATAAAGGTCACAAGAGCCAGCAACTTTGACTGTTCAAACATCTAATGGTCGAATTAGAGAACGCCATGTGGACGCCTGAAAAGACTCATATTCTCTTTTTCTCCATTTTCTTTATTCAGAATCGATCCTAAATTCTCATAATAATAAGAATATCTCATATATCTGAAAACACAATCTCGATATGCATGTGTTTATTTCTAGACAAACATTATATTTAACAATTGATTTATCTCC